CTATAGACTCAGTCGTCTATATATTAGTTCTCAGTAGTAACAGAATTAGTTCAGTCGTCGTTTCAGGATATCAAACAGCGGTAGATAGGCCCAGATGGAATAAAAGAGTGGACTGTATTTCTTGGTTTAATAGGTTTTCTTGAGTAGGCTATTAGTACATGAGATGCATGCATGTGTGTCTGCATGTGCGTGCGTGTTAACGTGTGCGTTAACAAGCGGTATAAGTATTAAAATTGTCACTTGAGGGGCTCTCACAAGACAGTTGTATAACGTTAGAGACCGACTTAATCTACATTTTGGACATTTTGCACCTAGCTTCACTTACGGACTGATTATCAGACTATTATTTATTTTGTTTTGACGTTTCAAAAGTACCATATTATGGTTTAATTGAAATAAATGCTTTGACTTTATAATTTATTTATTTATTTGGACATCCAGTTGTAGCTACATTTTTACCATTAACTTAAAATTAGGAATTAACATCTTACTGCTAATGCACAACATTTGAAGGACATCATAGCATGCGTTGAGTTGAGAACACTATATCAATTAAATAATAGATTTAATTTCCTTACGAATTATTTCATTGCCTTGAACTGAGTAAAAATATCCAAAATCTATTAACATATTGTTATAGCAACCGCAATCATAAATCTCACGATAAAATAAATAATTCTATAAAGTTAATTAGCTACTTTCGGTAACTCAAGGGAGGCCGATTTTTGTTTTTCCCCACCTAGATGTATTTCCCCCCTTAAAAAAAAAAGGGAGGCCGATATCGGCGTTCAAGCTCGAAACTAGTCGATGTACTTCAAAAATTCATTTATTTCTAAACTTCAATTAACAATATAGATACATCAAACAATGAGCCGTATAAACTTGAGACTGGTCTGTAGCAGGTACCTACAACCTGTATCACCGATCACCAGGCTAACCCTTAGTCGCGTCGCGGAGAACCTAACGGGTAACCGCTCCGGCTCGACGTGCAGGAGAAGGAACGGGGTGGTTTTTAGTCAGTAAGAGTCTGACACTCCTTCCCACCTCACCCAGGCGGGAGCAGTCATTCGATGATTTTCCCCCCTTAAAAAACACTTCGTCGCAGTACAAAATCAACTCACCTAACTAAGTTGGCTAGCCATGGCGTCATGTACTCTAAGCATAAATGCTTGAGCTCAATTGTAGATCCTCGGAAACCCTGGAAATAAAATTGGGTACTTTTCTTAATCATACATAAATTATTTCGACTGTTCAATGCAATAAAATTTAAAAAAATAATCACACTTTCATTGATTGATTTTAAGACCAACTTCATTTTAGTAATTTTCCAGCAATTTTTAAGAAATAAGGCGCTAAAAAAACGTGACGTCACAATACACAATCTCGTACAAATTCATATTTTATTACATTATATCATGTGTAACAATAGGTGTTACATAATTGAGTACATAGTTATTTAATTAATTAATTTACATACTTATAATATTATCAGTATCACATATAAGAAAAATCATAGAAAACTGTCGTTTTTGACAGTTCGATCAATTTGACTAGTTGGCAAGTACTCAATTGAAATATTACGCCCGTTATAAATTAAAAAAAATAATAGAGATTTTAAATATATTCGATTTAGTCTTATCTTATGTAACAGAGAGAAAACTTGTATTAATATTTTTAAATAATGTTATTCGGGACAGAAAAACTTAATAATAGACAAATGGTCAAAAAGCCTAGTCCTGGCGCAAACGAAATATATGTTATTTATTACGTATATAT